GTTTCAACCAATCTAGTTTTCGGGATTTTCAAAATATGTTTTATTCTTCGTTTGCCCAACATCTCTTGTCAATAAGACGCTTAATCGAAAATAAAAAGGAAAAATAGTCGAATAATAATTGATCACTCCCAAAACCATAGGCAACTCTACGAGTCACTTACTTACAACAAAACCACATTTGATTCATATTTTCTTCAAACACGCACCTTCAGCTCATATATAGTATTGCGTAAAGCCTTTAATAAAGCCCAGACGTGTTTTACGTGGTCAAATTTGACCCGGACTGGCAAAAAGTCTGTTTCTATAACTGGTTCAGCCATCTTTCAGTTCAATTACAGTATTACGAAAAGCCTTTAATAAGCCTAACACGAGCTACCATCTGATCAAATTTGACCCGGACTGACAAAAAGTTTCTTTCTATGGCTTTTTTTGGCATAGGTGGATTTGCGACTTGCATGAGTACAGTTCTCAATGACTTTATTACCTGCACTGAATGGTTGGTGGAACTCAAATAATTGGATTCGTGATAAAGTGCACTCCCCAAAACACTTATGTAGCATTTTCCAAGATTTCAGAGCTCTGATTCAAGCAAACTCGTGATTTTCTTTGTTCTCCCGTGATAAAAATCGTCAGACAAACCTTCCTTGTCCAAATCAACACTTATTGACATATAGCTTAGCTTCTTGTGCGAGATGCCGGTTCTGCGACAGGAGCCTGAAACTCCAGAACATCTGCTAATTGATTGCACATCAGTTTGTAAGCTCAGGATAAAGGCCATTGAATCCATGTTTCCAAATAGTAATCACATCAGCTCAATAGCACCAATTTACATTGGAATTTATCAATATGCTGGGATAAGTGAGTCGTTGTGACTTAGTAGAGGCCATAATAGATTCCAGTGAAATCCTTATTTATTTCTTTAATTTAGTTCAGACTTCATAAGAATATTAAAACTATATTGGCTGTTCCAATCAACGCGCAGTTTATACGGACCAGTGCGGTTCAAATTCGATCAGAGGGTATTTTGAAGTTATGAAGGACCAGTTTGAATCAAATTTGTGTAGAAGTTATTTTGAAGTTATTACACCGTTTAACTTATAGAAGGACAAATGTTCATGTTCCAATATTACGGACCAGTCCGGATCAAATTTGATCAGCGGGGTTTTCGAAGTTGTTACATCTTTTAACTTATGGAACGACAACTTTTCATGAGCAAATAAGAAACAAAATTTTAATGTACCCTTCAGTTTAAACTACTAAAGTCTCACTTTCCTACCCAATTTTTCCTAAGTTCCTCAAAGTCCTGAATTTTACTGAGGAATTCTAATGTACATAATAGTATCATCTTTGGCAGAATTGAAGGCTTGTCGTAGTAGAAAAACTCTTAAAAAGTTTTAAAATAGTTCAAAAATAAGAGCGCCTCTCTTCAATGTCTCTCAAACTGACACTAACTGACATAACAGACTCAAACTTTGACAGCTATACTTTGCTTCACTTTGCTCCAAATCGGCAAATCACAATGCGGGAAATGCAAACGACTGCTTATAGACATATCCGATGACGCGCGTATATGCCTGCTAACACCACCACGAGTACTAGGTATGTAGGTATGTAAATTTTATATGAGTTATAATAAACACGCAGGTATTTTTGCATAATATTTTTAATAATTGTCTGAAATATATATATACATATACCACATTTACAGACATGTATGGGTGTTGTTGTTATGCTCAGCACGTCGTATGCTTTTCTTTCGAAGCTTCTGCAAAAAACCGCGTCGAATGTCCATACAAAGTTCGCGCACAAAAATGAAAACAAACAAACACATACAAACAAAAATATATTTTTCCAAAATACCCACACAGTTACATATAAAAACAACCCATACACAAATGTGAGTATACATATACATACATACGTTAAGTACTCGCCTGTGCAGCGACATTTTCGTCACGCCGAACCACTGTCGCTTTTGCCGCCAATTATGTATGCACCACTCATTGAATTTTTAATTACCCACAGTCACTTAGTTGCCTGCTTAGTTAGTCGCTTGCGTGAAATTTTGCCTGCGCCAACGGCATGCATAGCAGCATGTGTGTGTGTGCCTGCATGAAGCATTCGAATTAAAATTATTTTAATAATTTAGTTTGTAGCGCAAAGGCAGCGAATGCCATCTGCCGTTATTTCTAATAATAATATGAAATGATTTTCGAGCAAAAGTGTGGAAATTTTGTTGTTGCACTCGTATGTCGTTTGATAGCAATTCAAGTGCTGCAAGTCGTTCGCTTTTTACTGCTATGTACATAACAATAATAACAACAACAAACTCCAAGTTGGTTATGTGAATTACGAAAACATTTGCAGCAGTTGACGTTTTCGAGAGTTGAATACTTGAATTTCACTTTCAATTCTGCCTTGCGTACTTGTGTTTGTTGTATTTCTTTTTGTATTTTAATGAAATATTTTTCGTACGTAATCTCTAATTCGTACATAATAAGTATACATAATACATAGTAATATTACAACATGCATATATATGTATACGGCAATAATAACAATAAATACAAATATTTGATGAGTGTCGTCACTTGCCGTCACAATAATAAAGTCATACACATAGCATAGAAAGTAAAATAAATTTTCGAAATAATATTTTAAAAATATATTTAAGGTCCTTTTGCTAAGGTTTCCACTACACTTATATTATAGATACCAAAAGATGCCCTTAAAAGCTCACAGTAGTGTTCGAATCCCTTGATTATGCGTCTGATTTATGTGGGAAATCAACCCACACTCCTGTATATAGAGTGTAAGGGGAAAGGCCTCCAATAGCTTGTGGCTTTGCTAATATGTTTCAGGGGCTTTTCATCAATATTTATTTTTTTAAACACTGTAAAGGATATTTTAGCTTGTAAAATCCAGTATAAAATATAGGATAACCTCTAAACTATAAAAAATAATATTTCAAAACAAATGTATTTTGCTAAGTAAGTAGAACTGAAAAGGATCGCTTAGGAGTTCGTTCGAATGATATTTTTGAATAATAAGGTTGCTTGACTTGTACCGATAAAGCTGAATTTTTTTCAAAACGAGTTCCGTAAACAAACTTCTTTGAACCACTTGATCGTGCGAATTCCGAATTGATGGAGGCCCGATGAGAGATGGGTTTATGAGTTTCACATGGAAACAAAAACCGAAACCAAAAAAACCATGCCAAAGCCGGTTTGACTCCGTGGGATTTTTTCTTGTTCCCCAAACCGAAATTACCGCTCGACCTTAGTCGATCGAAGAGATAAAACAAAATTGGCTGCCGGAACTGATGGCCATCCCAAAAAGTGCTTATGAAAAGTGTTTCGGGGACTGGACAAATAAGTGTGTAACATCTGGTTATAAGCCATGTTCGTCTGCCTGCATATACATATGTTAAAAAATTTATCTGTTTTTGAGATATCGGTCTGTAAATTTGCACACGCTTTTTTCTCCTGTTCTCATTTTTCAGAACAGCAAATATCATACAACTATATTAAATAGCTTTAATACAGACGGAATGATCGGAATCAAGTGCTTGTATAGAAGGCTTTTCATTTGACATTTCGAACTAAAACTAGTTTCGTCATTTAAAATCACGCTGAAAATCTTTGATTTGACTAAATGGCAACTATTCTCCACAAAAATTTTTTTCCTTTTGTTTTTCTAAACTTCCCTCTGTTTATTGTTCTTTTCCACGCAAATGTATACATTATCTTTGTCTACTTTCGACAAGAATCGGCTACAATTAACAAGGCCACAATGAGTGAAAATGTTATACCAATATGTCATATTATAACACATGGATGAATAACTTTAATCTTAACAGTACTCATAGCAGTTATAACGAAATTTGACCGAAGGGAATACATTTTTCCTAACCGCTTTCAAATTTCTTTGACTGATCCTTTACTTATTTTGTCTTGATGTTCTTAAGGCGTCACTAAACAGCGTAGAAGATGTTGATATAGCTGGGATTCGAACCCACAGTCTAGTAAAGGCACATACCTCTTTACATCTACTGCCTCATCTTTACCACAAAATGATCTCTAGTTTATTAGCTGTTCTTTGAGTTGTACCAGGAGTTTCTAAACCCAAAATACAGGTGCGGCTTCTGAATAGCTTCTGAATAGCCTCAGAATTGAACTCTAAATATCAAATAGGCAAAGCTCATAATACCAAAGCTAGCACTAGCACAATTGTCTAGCAAACAATTTTTGAGTAAAAACAGCTCAGCAACATATTTTTTAAGCGCTGTGTGATCTTAACTTCACTTTTTCAACAAAACATAAGAGAACACTTCCAAGTGTGAAATTAAATCAAAACATAAACGCAGAACAAACTAAATTACTTCAACTTATTCTGCGCTTCCGCCGCATAATCATAATCATCTTTCTTATATTTAACTAGCATCTCTTTTCACTTTCGCTTTGTGAATTCATAAATCAATTTGCAACTAAAAGTATGAAGACTTTCTTTAAATCTAAACCTTCAACTTGCCAGATGAAAGAAGCAAGACAGAAGGGTCTAAAGATGTACCGCAGCCGGCTAAAAACACACTCTTGTCGTTATGGCCTACAAAACAGCGGTTGACAAAAATTTCAACATGATTTATAGCCGCACTAGTAGTTCATTTCTGGCTTGTAGCTTGCTGACCATTTGGCTTTATGCTTCGGTCTTAATTTAATTTAAACAGTCATGGTATAATGAACCGTTGCTTAATTTGGTGCGCACTAAATGATTACAGTGTTAATTTGTGAAAGAAAATATAAACAAAACAGAGGATGGAAAATCTTTCCTTCCACTTCCCAAGTAGAAGGAAGGCAAGCGCTGAGACTAAAAAATTTCCTTCATTTTTTTTTTTTTTTTCAAAATACTTTGCGACAAGTAAAAAAACAGTTTAAGTTCTGTAATATATAATTTATTACCTCCACTCAAATAACTATTACTACTAAGAGTCAAACTTTTAACTTAGTACTCAATCCAAACCACTTTTTTTAACGACTTCCTTCTCTTATTTCAATAACGTCACTCTCAGCCACTTTCTTGGCACGCTTCATATGATCCAGCAATAATTCGACCAAGAAAGCCAAAAAGGCGCAAGTTATACCCAACAACCACAGCAACAACATGCCGACAAAATTCGACATGCCCAACTTAACCGGTCCAATATCGTCCAAGTTCGAGTACTGCGAGGCCATCAGCTCCTTCTGTATGGCGCCATCCAAATTGTCGGCAACAATGCGCCACTCCCAAAATTTGTCCAAACCCGACGAATGCCACATGACTACCATTTCATTGAAACTCTCCAGCAAAGGCCACATGCGCGCGGTAAATGCAACCGTGTACTGAAAATAAATATCCTCCACCATGATTTTCATTTTGTCCAAAACGCTACGCGTCAAGTGCTCCTGTACGGCGAAGTGACCTAGAAGAAAACATTCCATAACATAACATCATATCTTTCACTCTTAAGCTTTTAAAATTCTCCATTTGAATTCACCGAATGGCAGGCGTTCGATGGTGAAGCCCATCTCTTCCGTCTGCGCCAACACCATCAACTGTTCGGCGCTGTAAATATCGAAATTGCGCAGCAGACCCTTCATGATTTCCTATAAAAATCAAAACTCAATTAAAATCAAAAATCTGTTCGCTTGCCTACGCTCTCATCGTCACGTATAGCCGCCACCCAGGCCTCAGAGTCCGCGCCCCATTTGAGTTGGAAAGCGTAGAGTCGCTCCACCGAATCGGCAGCTTGGCCGAAGCTATACATATATATTTTAAAAAAATATAATAGTACCCAAATCTATATACATAGAAGTTACCTCGGCACGGTGAGTATGCTTGACAGTCCACCGCCATAAATGCTCGTTATAACGATGTCATTTAAGAAGCTCGCGAAGAGCATCAATCTCAGTGGCGTGAAATTCACCATAGTGCCCTTATTCGATTGCGAAACGAACAGCAACATTGTCGTCGAGAAGGCATACTCAAAATTGCGAAACCAACTATTCAGCTTTTCATCTGAAGCACGCATTCTTTCACTCATTGCTATAATAACCGGACGTGCATGATCTATAAAAAGCAACGCTATGATCTCCACACACAAGCAAACCAATACGAAAGCCCAAAGTGCTGGCTGAAAGGGTTCAATCGGCAGCCACAAGCTTGCCAGACGCCTGTTGGAAATAAATGAAGCGCATTATTGGAAATATGTTCGACAAAGAATTGCATTTACTTAGGCGCCGGCACCACACAGGTAATACCCGAACGTCCAATATACATCGACATGTCCAGCGCAACGTAATCGACGTACCTATGGATTTTTTTATAAGAATATTTGTTTTTCAAAATTTTTTCCATATGATATACTAACCATGTATACATGGCACTCATGCCCACCTCTGCCTTGCCTCTGGCTATCATACCCAATGCCGCCTCTCCGGTCATATTCCTGTAAGCAATGCCCCAGTCATCGGCTTCAGCTGTCAGAAAGAGAACACGGTAAATGCGAAGAGTTGAGGAGAGAGAAATTGATAAGGTATTATGTTCCAAGACGCCAAAATATTAGTGAGATTTGTATTATCTGCCGTTTTCTAGAACCAGATTTGTAATCCTAAATTGTCAAAAATTTTTAATCTCTCATATTTTTGTCTGACATCTATTTTCTAACAAATTATCACCTATCTTATCCCTTTAAAAACTTAACCCAGTCAAACCTAACCAATATCACTGAAGGTTAATATTGTCTCTTACGGAAAAGAGTTCTTACAAAGTTCCTTATTTAAGAGTATTCAAACAATTGAAGCTCAAGAAAATATTCTGTTCTAATCTAAAATGCTGCATAAAATCCACATTTTTCCAGATCATTTATTTTTTCCTAATATCAGTTGAAGAAAGAGATATCAACTTTTCAATTTAAACTTTTCCCTTATTCTTCATACTTACACGTATCAATATCTACTACACAGTTATGCTTTTCACAGAATGTTTGTAAAATCCTCTCTTCCGTGCCGTCCATTTCCACATCGCCACTTGCATCATTAGATGCAAAGGCTCTGTCACGGGATGGAGCGCCAGGATACTAATGACAGAGTATATAAATATTATAAAAAAGTCCATACAGTGCCAAATAATCGCATAAGACAAAACCTACTCACATATTTCAAAACCACATCCGGTTTATAATCAAAAGCAGCCAAAATTACTTCACGGCCCTGTAAATCGGAGAGCTTATCCGGAAAGAGATCATTGCCATATAGAAATGTATTACTTTCAGCATTAAAACGATCGAGTAAATACAATTGTTTTGGATTCTCAGCTCGTGAGCCAACAAACTTATTTGTTTTGAAATCGAAAATTGACGGATCGGTTACTGATCTTTCAATTAGGAGTATACCAGATTGATCTGTGTGTACAGAGTATTGGTCAGCTGTTTGTAAAAAATATATACTAACCGAACCAAACTCACCTTCGAAAAAGCGATGTTCGAAAAGTTCGTGCTGCAATTCGTCTTTATTGTAGACAAACAAAAATTTATTATTTGATGAACGCCATATTGAAAAACGACTGGCATTTACAACGGCATCAATGAAAAATGGTATATCCAATTGAAAGGCTATGAAGTTCTGCAGAAGGATTGCAATTTTTATTTGCCCTCAATGCCATAATTTTCTGTATCTTTTACTGAGGCGTAGAACCTCAGAGCACACTATTCGTACATACAAACCTGGCAATGTGACTTCTCTATTGACAAAGTCAATTTCTCCACGAACGGATTCAAGACCACGTAATCATTGAGCAGCTCCTCACGCTTGGCTGCAAAGTCTACAACGTCTTTGGCAAAAGATTGCTCCAAATCACGCAGCCCAATATTTATAATGGCGGCGTCTGGCGATTTGGCATGCTGCCAGCTTATAGAAAAATCCGCATTCTCTGGCCAAATGATGCAAGTCGTGGTGGACAAGAGATAGTTTTGTACTGGGATGTAATTTTTTGATAACTTATTAATAAAATAGGTTTAACACATTTATATCAGTACTAACTTAACACATTGAACAAGCGTGACCAGTAGAAGCTGTACAATAAATTAGCTGGCAACATTTTTTAAAGTAAAACCTAGAAAAAAATCTAACACTATTTCTTAAGCGCCAAATTCAAGATCCTCCTTTGAAATACAAACTTATTCTTTGCTTCAGCTCCTCTAAATATCTGTTTTTATATGAACGGTAGTAGGCAAAAACTGTCTTTTATTTACTGAAAAATTACTAAATTCTTGTGAGTCCTGCATTACTTTTAGCTAATAAAGTAATTTGCAATTTTGATGATTGCCAAATTGCTGCGCAAACAAACGGTTAGCATGTAATAATGGTGTGTACAGACTATAAGAAAAGCAGTCAAACGTAAAAGTATTGAACTATACGAGGTGTGTTCAAAAATTATCGCGAATTTGGAATTTTCGCGCGTTACGTATATTCGAATTTCGAATTTTTTGTGGCGTTATGTTGGTACTCATGTCTCTCACTTATGCCGACAAGCTCGSCCATTTCGAATGTTCATTTAATTGTTGACAGCTGCTTTGCTTGTACGTGTTTTGGATCGTCTTCGATTTTTACCTTTTCAAAAAAGTGGATCAAAGAACCAACATCAAATTTTGTGTGAAAAACGAAATTAAATGCGCGGATGCATTCCGAATGTTGACTGTGGCATACGGAAAAACTACCTTTAATCGAAGCAACGTTTTTCGGTGGTATAAAATGTTCTCAGAAGGCCGAGAAGATGTGATAAAAATTGGCTTTTGCACCACGATAAGGCCCCTGCTCACACATCGTTGCGACTTTTCCCATATTCCCCAGATCTGGCCCCTGTGAGGTTTTCTTGTTCCCTAAACAGAAGAGGCCCATGAAAGGACGACGTTACGCTTCTCTTGACGAGGAGGAGCTGAAGAAGATAAAACAAATGATTTTTTAAAGTTCTTCGAAGATTGGAAAAACCGTTGGCGCAAGTGTATAATATCTCATGGGGATTACTTTGAAGGGGACAAAATAGATATTCATAAATAAATAATTTTTGAAAAAACACAAAATTCGCGATACTTTTTGAACACACCTTGTACATATGTGATAGTAGGTTCCAAAGACAAAAAAAAATTGTTTAAAGCCTTTTCTTTGAAAAGCTTTAGTTAGCTTTAGTTATATCATCCATTTCGACGTTCCTTAAAATTTTAAAGGAAAAACACAGAAACTTCAAATTTAATGGCAAATGTTTATTATTATTCGAAAGAACATTATTTGGCATTTACCTTTTGAAGATTATCTCTTTCAAATACCCAGATGGTGCATCCATTGAGTCCAATTTTCAATGAGTCGTTCGAGCATTTCGACATGTAAGTGGCAAATGACACGCATGATGTTTTACTCCAGGTTCTAGATCGAATGAATCGAAGCGGAATTATCCGCATAGACTTTAGGCTTTATATATCCCTACAGAAAAAAATTTCACGGTGTGATATCAAATGATCTTTGTGGCCAGACGACCGGCCAAAGACGTAAATTATCTACTCACCGAAGTGTTCTATTATCTATGTATTGAATGATGCAATGTGTTGGAAATGGCGCATTCTTATTGAAACCTAATGTCGCCGAGATTACTAGCTTCAATTTCAGGCATAAAATAGTCGATTAGCATGGCACGATAACGGTCGCCATTGACTGTGAATAAATGTAGACCGATGATTCCAACGGCCTACAAACCACAACAAACTGCTGTCTTTTCTGGATGAAAAGTCAGCTTTTGAATCTCTTCAGGGTGCTCTCCGTCTCAAATGTGAACCTTTTGCTTGTTTGCATTCCTATTGAGCCAGAATTGGGTCTTATCGCTAATCAAAATATGGCTCGAAAACGTCGGAACTTTTTTAGAGACCATAGAATAAAGCGACCTAGCAATGTGAAAGTCGACCGACTTCAGTTCTTGCACAAGCTCTATTTTGAACGCTTTCGATTTAAGATCTTAACCTAAAATACGCCAAATCATTCCACACATCATTACGCGTTGCTGCGAAAACTAAGTCCAAAATAGATAAATAATGTTGATAGTGGATTATAATGGACCATTATTGGGGCCTACAGACGTGAACACGGCAATTGTATTTAAATGACATTGCAAAGTAAGAAAAAGCTTACGGTGATTCAGTTGTATCAAAACCACAAGATTGATGAAAATATTATATTAAACAAATATATTTTTTACTACTTATTACTGAAACCCCTTGCTTATGATTACATATCTAATTTTCCACTACGGAGTACATTTTTATTTATTGCCACCCTTTGAGCAACCCTCGTATACATATTAAATACCCTACTTAGTGACATCACAGCCGCGGACTTTTTATCAGCAGTCGCAATATGTTTATTGGTAGATAAAATGAGTTTAAAATCTCACATACAATAATACATCAAACACATTGCATTGGTAACATGTGTGTGTTAGCTAAGATGATGTTCGGATTTCGCATCTGATAAACGAATAGCTGGAGCAACTTTTGGTCTACTCTAATTATCTAGCACTCTCTCAAAGTTACATTAGTCATGTATCAAGTTTCATTATTAATGGTTTATGTAAAAACAATTTCCTTTGCAAAGAAAACGCATGGAAAAGTGAGTGAAGAATCTGTGATAAACGTTTACTGATTGTAAATATTTAAGAAATTGTAACGCAATTATAAAATAAATGTGTGTTTTGGTTTCGGCGTTACGCTCCCCGCAAGGCTTTAACGGCACAACAAATATCTTTATAATTCTGTGTCTGTAAGCCAAAGTCTTATAATTTGTTGAGAAACCGATAATATTTGCAGCTTTTACATATGTATGTATACTGTTATCTTTACGCTAAGAATTTGAGCATCTCAAATGTAGAAAAATATTTTTTACATTCAAAAATAAATTTGTCACGCTACCCTCATATTTATACAACAACAACAAACATATGTAGGTAAATGAATATCACTAAAGCTAACTAAACAGAGCGCTGAAGCGTAGTTTTAATTACATTTTCACCATTTTTTTTTTCTTCATCCGCAAAAATTGCCCGTCCTAAGTCATGGGCAGAAATTACGCAAATTAGAAAATCAATAATTGCGCTGTTCATTATACTTTTGTGTTCAAAACATGCTGCTAAGTGGTATAATTTCGGTATTCAAAGTGATTTATCATTTTTTGTTGGGTAAAAGTTTGTTTATGCTTTCATATTATAATTGGGCATTTAGTGTGATTTCACAAATATTTAAATAATTTCTACATAATAAGAATTCCTATTGGCATACAAACATATATACATAAATATGAGCAAAATATATGGGGCACCTACTAAACTTTGTTGTAAGATACTCCACTTGTCATAACCCAAAAGTGCTTGAGTTGAAAATTGTTCGTGGTTTCTTTTCTAGTAAAGAGATCGTTCAATTGAATATCAGTTAAAAATCGTTAATTATTACATTCCAGGCTAATAAAGGTATGGCTAACTACGCTATCCACGGTATCAAGTTGGTTTGTCATAAGACTAGTATGGGTGCCAGACCACAGCAGAATCGCATATTATCCCCGCTGCCAATAGAATGAGAACGGCATACAATAGGTTGTCAAAAAAGTCTTGCGGTATTGAATTTTCAATTGTTCATAAAATTGGTTACAATAATGCTATTCAAGTCAAATATGAGCCGTTTTGTTCGATGACGCGTTCCCAACGAGATGCCAACTTCATAATGCCCCTCTCATAGAAGCTCGCTTCCCTATTGGCAAAAAACTCATAAAACCAATTTTCACAGGACTCTCTTGTGGCCAACTTCAGCGCGTTCGCCATGGACAGAAATAGGTGGTAATCACTTGGTGCGAGATCCGGACTATACGATGGWTGCAAAAGAACCTCCCATCCGAGCTCCCGGAGCTTCTGGCGCGTCACTAAAGATGTGTGTGGCCTGGCGTTGTCCTGACGGAAGACAATTCGGCCCCTGTTGATCAAAAATGGCCTCTTGTGCATGAGTGCTGCCTTCATGCGGTCCAGTTGTTGGCACTACAGGTCCGAATTGAGTGTTTGGCCATAGGAGAGCAGCTCATAGTGGATTATTTCCTGCCAATCCCACCAAACACACAGAAGAACCTTCCTGGCCGTCAATCCAGGCTTGGCCACCGTCTGGGCCACTTCAACGCTTTTCGACCACCACCGCTTGAGCCTTACGTTATCGTAAGTGACCCACTTTTCATCGCCAGTCACCATACGCTCCAAAAACGGGTCCAAAATTTAATACTAATCGCCATAATATAATTTTCTGTGTATAAGTTATGTTACTATCTTTTTTTTTTAGAAATATCTTCACGTAATTTCGTACAGACTGTAATCCAAGACAATGGCGGAATCTTCAAATAAATCATTTAAATCGGACCACTATAACATATAGCTACCATGCAAAGTGATCAAAGTCTTTGCTTTAAAAACCTTTTTGATTTCACTAATAATCACCGCGAAGAATTTATAGTCGAAGCTAACTCTTTAATATCTGTACATGTTAATCAGGTCGGACAGCTTTAGCACATAGCTGACAGAACAAAACCAATGTAAAAATCCACTAAAGGTTCTTTTTGCGTTTTTTTTTTAAATTTCACGCTGCGCGGATTCTAACACTCTCTCCCACTAAATCCACAGCAACCATATTCGCAAACTGGACGAAGAATTTCACATTTGACCTTAATATTTTAGTCGATGGCGTAAAAATTTCGATTGTCAATAACTCTAAGGTCTTTGATGTACGCTCCTGCGCTTCTTCACTCCTCACACGACCGCGATTATAGCCAAAGTACAGAGCAGAGACGAAATTCTCAAGTATTTAGTATTTAGCCGGCACTACAAAAAAAACAAATAAACGTTGTTGGCAACAAACGAGGCTATCAGCCGACCGATCCTTAACTACGCCGCACCAATATGGTCGTCTGGATGCAGTGAACGCAGACGAGGTAGCTTCAGACAAGTCAGAAAACTGCACTCCGGACTATAACTGGATGTCTCTCGGTGTCTTCTATCGAACACCTGCACATTGGGGTCCGTATGCT